ATGGAGGTGTCACGAATCAAGTGACCAATGGATTTATACCATCTGTCGTTACTCTTGACGCCGGATAGAACGTCATGATGGTCCCATTATAAATGAACAGCAATTGACGGGAGATTCGTTATAATGTGTAAAATAAAATTTCAATAAAGCTTGGAAATTCAATGTAACATGTTTAATTTGCATGAATTCGTGTTATTAGCATCGAGACTCTATTTTAATTACTCAGTTTAATTCCATGTGTTTGTGTATTTTAACTTGTTTAAGTTTATTTATAGTATTTATCGTCTTGTAAATAAAATAATGACATACAAAAAAAAATACCATAATGGGATCATAAGTAGATTTCTAAACACGGGTTTTCTACATTTTTATTTCATATTATAGCATATAGCAGTGAGAAAGAGTGACTATTTGTTTCTATAAATATTAACATTATTATAGTATAAAACATAGTGGCGTCGCTGACTGTCCCTAAGTATGCCTAACTCTTTTAAAACGGATTTTAAAGCGGTTGTTTTAATAGTTAGAGTGGTTCAAAAGGAAGATTTATATGTATAATGTACACCCGTGCAAAGCCGGGGTGGGTAGCTAGTTTCCATATAAAACAACTATTTGGAAGATGTATATAAAATAGGTATGTACTACTTGTGTCGTATTTTGAGGAGCCTTATTACGTGAAAATACGTGACCTTTATCTAGGAACAGGGACGTGTTCCAATTTCATTCGATACTGCTGCCGCTACACTATTAACTTTACAAAAAACTCTACTTAATTTGATGGATGTACTTGTTAGCATAATAGTGTCTCATCGTGATGGTAACACGCCAGACAGGCCAGGTTTAAGACATTCAAAATATATTTATTTACTGTAGATTATGTCTACTTTTTTTTACCAACATTCTGTTATAATTATTTGTGTATATATAACTAATAACCTTGACTCATTACAATTACTATAATTTATGACATCATAATTGTGTAAAATAAAATTTATTCTGCCATTCATGAGATCATCGCACATGTCATATGAATTAATATTGTAGATAATTTGTGATTTATGAGTCAGAAACAAAAATTAATGCATATTATTTTATTGATGTACGTACACATACAATGTATTAGTATTTATATATGTATTTTGAAATAAGGGTTCTATTTATTCACATAAAAACAATACAACTTTCTTCGTATATGTATAATATTTTGATTAAATCTATTTTATTTCATAGTCTGTTTTTGGTTTGTTTAGATGTTATGAGTTAAATCGAATATTTAATAAAAATAATCCACGTTTACCGAATGTGCAAGTGTTAGACTTCAATAAGTAATAATATAAAGTACAATGTCAACATGGACCTCAGTTTTCTCGTCGAACCTTGACGAACGACTTATTGTTGTATTGCAACTCGACGCGACGTTCCGAAACTGCAGGCGGGTCTATGGGAATGCACCCATAAAATTTACGCATTGTGATTTTTATCCGAAAACACATAATAAGACTGAATTGTTTACCGCTGCATTTAAACCTTAAAAAAGGCTGCGCAGCCCGCACGAATTGGTACTCGGATACCCGTTACGACGCAAAGCGGAACTCCTGGCTTTTGTGTGAGTAAATTTAGATACTTCATTTTGTTCCCACGTAGATATTATTAATCACTATAATACTAGAAATAAATTTAGTGTTTGTTATGAAATATCATACTAGGAAAAGTGATTGCATACCAATAATATAATTAAAAAAGTGTATCTGTCTGTCTATTTGTTACTTTTTTACAACAAAAAAGTTGAATGGATCTTAATGAAATTTGATCTTCAGCTAAAACTAGGACCTAACCCAAAAAAACAGGAAACAGTATAGGCATATACGGTTAAATGGAATATTTACTTTTTAATTACGGAATACATATAGCACATTACGACGATTTATAACCGTAACGTTTTCAGACGTGTTAGCAAATAACTCTATAAATTGCTGTTTATATGTCCCTTTTGAGGTCTAGAGCAAAATAATAAAAAGACCTATTATTGACTGGTCTACCTATTATCTACTTCAATAGCAGTAACTAGTACAGAACATGTCAATCTTTACAATACTCAATTTGGTATATAGTTAGCATGGTTACATTTGTTCTATTAATTTGTTTAATCGTTTCGGAATAGCATCTACCTACGTACAATAAGCATGGGTTATTAGTGCGCCATTACGACAGTTTCATTAACGTAATAAAATTTAATTGTTGTTTATACCGTTTTAGTGGCATATCATAGCGACGATTTATATGTAACTGCCACTAATATGAAACACATATGTAATTACATTTTGTATTTTGATTACGATTTCTTTAAGTGTAATTTATAAAAAAGGGTGCATTTTTCTATATTTTAGTTACGTAAGAACAATCGAAATCAAAATACGAACATAAAACAACGTATGTATCAATGATTAAACACAATTTCAGTAGTTATAGTTATAATGATTAAAAACAAAATTGGCTTCAATACTTCCAATCCAATTAGGTACCTGAAAAGGCGGATGACAATAAGTAGTAATTGTCCCTCTTTTTGTATAGAATTGCTTTAAACCGATCGTAAACCTTGTCGGGCAATCTTGTTTTGGTGAATTGGATGCTTTTCGTATTGATGCAGCAGACGTTACGGTCCACATATGGTGAACGAGCTACAACGACATCACATCAATGTTGTACAACAACATTGTTGTCAAATATAGCTTCACATATCTATATACCTCACAATACTCTTTTAGTATATCGTTGGTGTTGTAAACTGCAGTAATGATCTGAATGAGAATAATGTATATATTGTATTACACAGTTACATAATAACTGTTTAAGTATTATATATAGTTATATAGAAAACAGTGAGCAAGGTTTGAATAAAAATAAAAACATTTGTATGCATATTCATATAGGTGTTGTGAAATAAATAAAAGAACAATGAAATACAATACTCTCGAACAAGATTTAAGTTCACTGTGATGGCATTTCCAATTTGTGAAGAAGTCTTTTATGGGAGCATCAATGGGCGGATATTTTAAAGACGGTAACTGACTGTATGGCCGCACAAACCGAGTTGTTTTGTTTTCGTCTAATACCCTCGCTGTGAACATGAATGTATTATTAAACGTACGTGGGATAATAAGACCAAACCGGATTAACATCAACACTTACAAAGAACACTGCTTTAAAATATGTTTACATCACAGGGCTTTTAACAACGAAATGCGGTTTGAGACACCGACCAAAGTGTAGATACTATACTATAATATAGTACTTTAAGGTTTTTTATAATAATATATAAAAGATTTGTGTTACGTAAAATGATAATGTGTGACTAAACTTCCCTTTTTCTGTCAAAATCGTTATTAATAACTTTTATTATGATAGATAATAAGAATCAATGAAATATACATAAGTATGGTTTATTAAGAGATTACATTCCTTTTTTTCTGTTATTTATTCGACATTATACAATCTCTTAGTTAGGATACGATAAGGCTTGTCTAATATTTTTTTTTATTATTCAATTAATAGTCCCACATAAAACATAAATATCAGCAACATTATATAAAGTAGGTAATCTTATAGTGTGTTTAGTCTCCGATAAATTAATTATCTGTGACATCCTTCCGCTTCGAAGGGCATGATAGAAATTGATGAGTTTACTGTCAAACTTAATTAATTTAGAATGTAAACCCTCATATTGAGGTTTAATAGTTAATTAAAATGTTTCCTGACGAGAACAGTACTGATACTGGCCTTTATATAATAAAGTCAACATAAGGAATCATAATAACATTTAATTTAGTTTAATAAATCAATAATTCATGTAATAATAAAATAATAATAATTCTTTATCACAATTTCTATTTTAATATCGATCTGGTATCACTTATACAAAATTACACACTCCTAGTTGTAATCTTATGATTGTGTAGTGATTTAATTAGGAATTTCGTTAGCTATATTATCAATCAATTATCATTAGTTATATTAAGTGTCTAATAATAAAAACTGTAAAATGACAGTTTTATTATTTTTACTGTATACACTATTATTAAATATAAATACACATTTACCCTTGGTACTAAGTACAAAGAACAACAGAATGAGCTTTTTGTTAAGCAAAATTAGGCCTCAACATGGTAAATTATCAAATTAGACCTTCAATTACTCTCATTATAACGTTCGGTTTTTCTCAATTTGTCGGATGCGGCATGCCGAGAATACAAATCGACAACAATATCACTCGCACGAAATTCCTTGGAAATTCGAATGAGTTGATGTTACGACATAGGTATATGGGCTATTGTACGAACACCGGTTGTATTGTAGTATTTTCGACTCAATTAATAAGAATTATCTTAATAAACTATTGAGTTATCATAATTGTTGTTATATGTATTATTACGTTTATATTATAGAGAGATAAGTAACAACACTTCATAATAGACTCATCAATAAATCCAGGTCAACTGTTATCCTTTATTAATTATGTCGGTGTATTTTGCAATACTCTCATATCTCACTATCTATTGCACAATTAAGTGACGTGTACAGTTAAATAATGACATCTATTGGCTACTGCAGTATTACTATTATGTATGGAATAAGTGGTTCATATTTTCCGTTCTTGGTAGCCTAGCTATACCTATACTAGAACCCAGAAAGCGGAAGATTAGCCATATTCGAAGGCATTAGGGCAGGCCAGTGGAAAAATGTAGTTGAGATGATGATGATGATTGATTAAGTGACCCGTATAAACTATCATAAACAATAAAATTAGTGAAATAACCTGGAGACGATACTCGAATTATACTCTCAATAGCTAATCATATAATATCATAGTATAATAATATTATGTGTAATAGATAAATACATATGGGTGTATTCCTTAGTACAACAAACATGAATTAATAGTAGTACTTATTAAGTTTTGTTCCCAATTGAATTGTATAATAATAAATGTTTTATGTCTACAGAATACGGTGGATAGCATGCTGACAAGGTGGTTACCGTTTGCGCTCGTGGCGGTTAGCTGGCGGCTCACAGATGCCTGTACATGTGCACCCGACCATCCACAAACCCATTTCTGCTCTAGTGATTTTGGTAAATTAACAACTTGTAATATTTTTATTTTTCCATTTTTTTATATAATTGAAAATACAAACAAATTGGCGGCCCACCTGTTCGTAAGTAGTTACTATCGCCTAGATACACGAACAATATCAGGGCCATCTCGTTATTATGTAGCGCTCGGGATACTTATGAGTTGCCATTCCAAAAAAACACAACAAAAAACACTCCCTTATTTTCACCCTTCTACCGAAATACAGCTTACAAAGCAAGTTGATTGACATTCAAATAGTCTACCTCGGTAAAAATAAAGAAATAGCCGTAAATTATTGAGATGTTCTTTGATATTGATATTCCTTTACAAGTTACTACTAATTAACTTGTAAAGGCACATCAGTATACTAATACTGTCGCTTAAACTGCCAAACAAATAAAGGCTTCTTCTTACATGTAAGTAGAGGATCTAAATGTACCTATGTATTATGTCGTCATGTCACAAGTAACAATTGATATAGGGTGGGATAATATACTGGAATATTTGATCAAAGAGAAACACAATTCATCTGATATATCTGTATGTTTCACAATATATTGGCAATATATTGTATTCTGCTCTAATTAATCCTTTTATAAATAATAATATTAATTCCATATATTTCGCCATAAGAGTGCAAAAGAAAAAAGATACAGTCGTCTTTAATGAAATTTCTTTTTTTTTTCAGTAATAGTGGGTAGAGTACAGAAAACTTTCAAAGGGTCCGATTTCTATGATTCATACAAAGTAAAAATTCGAAACACGTTCAAAGTAAGTATTCATATAATTTATGAAATTGTATAATTTTATATACTTAGTTAACTTAACATTTTAGTATTAATATAATTTGTTGAGGAAGTAAAAATACAAATTGGTTATCGTAAGAGGTAACTAAGTGAACAATGAGCATTTGCATTGTACTACACAGTACTAGAGATGGAAAATCCCAAATAAAACGTGGTAATAGTAAGCCAAATCTGCCTCTTGTGAGTTTAAACCTGTACTCAATATTAGGACAATGGTTTGTTACGTGAACTAACTTGAAGGAAAATGACATAAATTTTCTGTAGCAGTAGTACTACCATATAATAGTAGTACTTATTAAGTTTTTTTCCCAATTGAATTGTATAATAATAAACGTTTTAATTAATAATTCCAAAAATAATTTGATTAGATACAGATGTTCTTGATTAATCTTTAATTTTGAATAAATAAACTCCGTGAAAAAGAAGCACGCTATCACATGATATCGGCAGGCTACTCCATTTTGAATTCGAATGTAACGTAATCATATTTGTTTTTCATTATTATAAAATCTGGGAAATATCACCTGGTAACTTTTGCAGTTATATTGATAGGTTATAATAAAATTCAAGAGAATGTTTATTAACGAGTTTTGCAACAATTACAAATACCTAACACTTCATCGAAATATAGGTAGGTAACATAAACTAATGTTCTCATCTATTTATTGACAGAGTACACCAAAAGCAACCGTTGCACTTAAATCTGGCCGCTTGTTGACAGCATCCCAAGACTCTATGTGTGGGATCTCCCTCCAGCCCAGAGAAACCTATGTCATTACAGGTAAACATTATATATACCTCATTCAACTTCAAAATGTATAAACATTACATACGACGCCTATCTTTAATTTTTTATGCACTCCATTATAGACGTGTCTATTCACTGAATAGAGCAAATATTAAGGGTGTTTAAGTATAAAATTGTTGGGTATTGCAATATTGTAATCTGCAATATCCAATTGGTTTTTCTTTGACATTAAAGGATATTAAGTATAAGTAGTGTGTAAAGGATCCATTAAGTTCAGTTTCATAAACATCATTGATTATTATAGTACAGAAAACTGGTTAAACATACTACGTTAAGATACTAATCACAACTTCTATAATCAGCTGATGATTTTAAATTGTATGTTTTGCAGGTAATGTACGACATTTACAAGCTCATATCAACCTCTGCGGGTATACAAAAAAATGGCGTGACGTAACGCCGCGGCAACGGAAAGGTTTCAGACTTCTATATAAACAAGGCTGCACGTGCAAAGTAAGTAAATATACATAAAAAGTATATATTAAAAAATATGTAAAACGTTAAAATATAATAGATAAATATTAATAAAGTACGACATAGACATTAGAATCGTAGAAGATTGTTTTCTAAAAAGCTATCTGCGTGGATACCACAGTCTCACCTATTTCAGTCGCCAAGCTTCTTGCTTTGTATGATATTTTTATAAAAAGTTGTAAAGTGTCTCAGTCAAGTGGTATCACGGGCGTCACATGTTAACGAAGGAGATAAAGTTGGACGTTAGTTTGTATACCATTACATAGACAAAAAAAATCTAGCACAATGCAATAGGATTACTTTAATTATCACTAAGAAGTGTATGTATTTATATAATATATATATATATATAATATGTTTTTAACATTCAGATACATATGACGAGGAGAAGCACTAAATCACCAAACACGTGCGTAGCGAACTTCAACGACTGTTACGAGCGACATGGTATTTGCCTGCATGATCGTGAAGGACGCTGTCGCTGGACAAGGTAATTACGTTATTTCCGACTTGTAGATCAATTTTGGGATATCCCAATTTCACATTACGTATGAGGTTTACCAATGACTCGGACTCACTTTGTATTTTGTGATGTTGATAATACTCTTCATGTCCATGTATCTTCAGAGGTAGACTGTAAAAAATCATCTGCGTCGGTACCTCAGTCTCTATTTCATTCCCCAAGCATCTTGCTGTGTAAGCTGTGTTTCAGTTGTATTCAATCTGGCACAGATTGGGCAGTAGAATTACAGGATAAGAGGCATAAGATCTTAGTTCTGTGGAATGGCAGCGCATAAGTGGCACCCGGGTGTCACATGATAAAATGATGTCCGTCATGTTGCCATTCCAATTACAAGCATAAAAATACTGAATTAGATATCACCGAGTCACATATCAATGTGATACCGAGTGACAGTTATAAGTACTTTATTATCTAAAATAATGCAACACATAGATTCTTCAATTACAATAATTATGTATTTATACTTTGTACTATATTATTTAAGAAAGAAATAAAAGTATTACTTAACTTTAATCTTTTTATAACTAAACAGCGCAATGTTTCCTATTGAATATTTTAAAAAACATACATTGTACCGTCTACACTAGAGTAATTTTACTGACTATCACGAGGACGAAATCACAGGTACTTACAGATAATATGAAATAATAGGAAATTCTGTGACAAAACCTGTCCTAAGTATAAAAAAACTTTACATTGCGCTGTTCATGTCAGTGACATGTTCTCATCCGCCGTAGCTATTCATGGCTGGAGGCAACAGTTCGTGAATAAATAATATAGTCTTGGCGCTAACCATTGTAGTTTATTAGTTTTTCTTAGCTATGAGGTTTAATATGTATGCACCCAGTTGTTGTATTGAAAATGATACGTAGGTCGACACTCATATTTCAAACTCGGACACCAAATAACAATAAAACGGAGCGAATAGGCCTAAACGAGTTAACCCACGCTGTTGTTATTACATGGAAAATAGTATAAAGAGCGATCAAATCATATAAACACCAAACATTAACTTATCGATGTCTCCTATTTCGGACATTTTGTCAAAATCTATAATGTTTTACGTTACAGAGCTCCAGCCCTCACCAGATGCAAGCAGGCAAATTACTTCAACACAACTATGACGATACTATGATTGAATAACTTGATACTGATTCGACTAACTTAAAAATACCTATTTTGATCTAGATAAATGAACACAGAAAGATGAGTGCGTAAATACAATTTTTTATATTTTTTTATAAAGCAGTAGCAGCTATTACCACTACAGTAAATCCATTTAAATTAAAATCCATCAATTTTAATAATATTTTGTTAGGTATTATTATACTGGCTCATCCAACGTAGTTGACTATAACTACTGTCAATATACACCTATAAGTACCAGAAAATAAACTACAACAAATGCAACGTAATAAGTGAAAAATAAAAGTATACTTATAAGGGATGGCAGATGCCCTAAAAATATGTGACGTAAAAGTAACAACGACGAAAACCATAAAGTATATTTCGTTTCTAAGTTACATACAGAAACTTGACAAAATCAAGGTTGCAGAGGTTTTAAGCTTTGTCTGAATAGAAGTCATAACTATTGTATTGCCAAATAACTAATCTACTTACGTACCAATAAAAACTGTAGTACACACTAAATTGTAATTTGCTTTGCAAGGCAATTGAAAAGCCGCGGGACCTGATAATACGTCTATCGAAGCAAAATGGCGGCAGTAGCACATACTTATTGATTTGAGGTTATATGGACCGTCGTGAGAATTAAAATTTTGCCTTGTATGGACGTAGACACTTTTATAGTGTTAAACAAGTTATATAGTTACGATAAGGGAGTGAATGTAAACAAAATTTTATTGTAACGAATTTGTATTTAAATTATTCTTCTCTGTATTTTTGATGATCTTTATTGTTGTTTTGTTTTTTGTCCTTTGAGGCAAAAAATTTTAACGTTATATTTACTTTATTTAGTTTCTAAGAAAAGAATTGTAAATTAACAAAAATAGTGATATTACTGTATTAGGTTAAAATAAATTATAAGACTAATACGTAGTTTATTTTTTTGCATTTCATCTATTTGGTTGGTTGGTAGATATATTATCTATTAAATTCATGTTGCTGCAATTAAAGTTTAAAACCGCATATAACTCAATATAATATGGCAAACATATTTAACATTTATATCAATCCTATATAACTATATCACTTCGCAAACAGTTCATCACTACGAAAATTGCGGAGAAACACAGCGCCTGATGGAAAAATATAGGCAATTGAGTACTTACCATATCCGTATGATTATGATAATAGGTTTGTTCGATGAGAGGGAAATTCTCTCTTCCTAGACGGCGTTGGAGTTGAAGAAGATGGCCAAATACCCATGGTCTGTCCTAAAGAATGCAAACATTTTATTCCATAAATTTTATTCATTCGGTAATTATATTTTTTTAATTGTGTATAAGTTTGTTTATCTCGCTTAGGTAAATACTATCATTTCATCATATCTGTAAGTAATCAGAAAGTGCAATGTGAGCTTTATATATAGCGTTTGACTCCGAAGGGTCAGTAAGCCCACCTAAGAAACAAATAGAATAATACTTCGCTAATGTTGCAAATAAAGCAATACATGAATGAACTCATATCTTTACATATTATTTACAGACAGCTATTACGATTTTCCATTAAATTGTAACTTTATTAAAACTCAATAAAAATATCGTACAATATTGTGGTTATTTAAGCTCATGTCCTTCACCCTTGCTAAACATAAATTATAGGTTGATTATTCAAACCGTTAAGGTATTAGAAGTTACGATGTAGAGGTATCTAACCAATCATTTTCATACTGCTAATAAGTTTTACAGACTTATTCTACAAAATATACTGAGCCTTTGTGATTGTTTCTAAATTATTACCTGGAAGTGGTAAATAGAGTTGAGGCTGTTGATAGAAGGCACACCGCCGAACTTGAGACCAAGCAGAAGGGCACGGTGGTCTGCACCTGCGTCACGGACATTCTGTCGTACCAGCACGAAATCTGGCCTACAAAACGTCAAGTTTATTAATTAATATTATTATTTCAAACTAACTCATTTCATTATTTATATATTACAAATCGCTTTAATCTTATTGTATTTGTAATCTAAATATACTCAATATATAGAATGTAATTGATCCTTTCTTTTCTTATTAGTAGGAAAAATTAAATTGTTTTAATTAATAAAATATGTAAGTATATTATTAAAGATATAAAAATAATGTTTCATAAGATTTAAGAAATAAAATATTTAAAAATTTATACATACTTGAAACAGCGGGTCACTTTAGTGCCGCTTCGATATACCGCCATAGATACATTGGCACCATCCGAATTGGCTGTCACTGATAATTCCTGAGAAATAATAATTTTCTTAATTACACCTAAATAAAATAGTCAACTATATTGCAAGATATATGCAAAGTTTGGTTAATAGTAACATAACGGTATAAGTATATCCATTAAAAGTCGTGGGTTGATTTCACTACACAAATACTGATATCTAATCTTGTATTAGGTTCACGTAAATTATATATATATATATGTGGATTGTTACAGTTTAAAATAGTTTGCTCATAAATTTGTATGGCAAACACGACACCTAGTTTGTACACGTGTACTTACATAATTAATCCAATAGCTGGCTCACACTTTATTTACGTACTGGCTCGAACAAGTAATTAAATCTTTTGACAGTATTCGCCTACCCTGAATCTCGGAGATAAGTTATAAGTAGATATCAGCATACATATTGTGCACACAAATATGCGTGAATTCTATTATAATATACCTATTTTTTTAAAGACTCATAAGAACATTTTTGATTAAGATCGGAATCAGCTATTAATTATTTTAAACATTTATTTCTCCGTATATACTATTTTGAGAAATTGTAACGATATTTCTTTTACACCACGTAGGTGGCAAACAAGCATACGGTCCAGAATCTAAGTATATGTGGGAGGAAGCTCCTCGAAACCGCACTGACCACTTAGGTTCCAGCGTAGGTGTGGGGATGAAATCCCTGTCGATGCCGAACGGTGCGATGGTAAATATGGTAAAAATACATAAATAAATTATGCCAATACTACCATTTATACAAGCATATTCATATAGTATGTTACAAAAATAGAATTAACGTACTTTAAACTCAGCTTGTTCCACACGAATATCCCATTCACCAGGCAGCCGCCGACCTCTGAAGTACTTGGACCAGTCAGTGTTCTGGTCATCTACCACCAGTAGTGTGACACAGCGATCACGATTGTAGCCACGACCCACAGAAGCAACTGATGTAACGCTTCCTAAATGTATTTAATTTAAAACCTTAGTGCAGATCAGTATAAAATATTCCTCTATACTTCAAAAGAGTATTACCTCTATTTAGCAGAAATCTGTTAAAAAGAGTTGGGAGATAATAATGAATGTATAAAGGATACATATAAGAATAACTCACATATTTGGTAAAATATAAGATAAGTTCGACAATTCACATACAGCAAACGGTATAATTACAATAATCTTTGAGGGGATTGTTAGTAATAATAGTAATAGCAAAGATCATTCTAATGTTAATAATGTAATATTCTAGAAACTAAGACTTTAACAAGAAATTAACTCGTGGTTAATTTCTGGTTAAAGTCTTAGTAGGCTATATATATATGTACCTAATATGACTAAACTGACAAAAACCTTTTACTTGAGTACCTATATTAATTTATATTATGTAACTCCTAATTGAAACAACTTCTGAAACTACTCGAAGTAAGATTAATTAAAATAATTTAATGTTGGTACAAGATAGCTTTAAATTATATCAAAACTTGCCACATATTGGTTTTCTTTAGGACAATAAAAGCTTTTGCAAACAAAGTGCGTACCTAATAAATTGGCTCCTTGATCACGAGCTGCCCCGGTGAGAGATTGTACGCGTTGTAGTAAAGACTCTCGAGATTTAGCCGGAGAGGATGGAGCGGAGGTGCCACGTGATCCACCTCGCAAGTTCAGAGAGAGATCTCCTCCAGATGTCGCCGCGGCCGCCGTTGGGGGTGGTCCTGACGCGCTACCAATGCTCCCTCCAGTTGCTAGGGAGTAATATACTAATTAGCCTATGTTCTTTATTATTAATAAGTGAACTAGGTGTGTATTGCAAATTATTTGAATCACATAATTTTGTAATAACTTATTCATTTTTATCAATATAACGAATAATTTTTAGTCAGATCTTTTGTATGGTAGTAGTAGTAGTAGTAAGTCGTTTATTTGCATTACAGACAAGTAAACAATTAAACCACAGTGATGATATCAGCAGGCAGCTGTAATATGCCTTTTTACAAATTAGATATGTTATAACAATTATATTCTAATTTAATATTTAATGATTATTATACAATGTTTTTACAATTATTATTATTATTACATTTAGTCAATTATTATTACGTCAATTCTATTTACATTACATTAAATTTTATTCACAATATTTATAATTTACATAATCATCTATAGAGTAGAAACAGTGCACTAACAGCCATTTAGTCAATTTGTTTTTAAAATGTTGACCTGTCAATTCTATTAAATCTGTAGTATGGACTACCCATTAAATATTTTATGTGCCATGGTAGCCTAGGATATTCATATATATACCATACGCCACATAATAAATTACATACGTACAATATCTAATTGATTAGGCATAAAAATAACGAAAATAAGTGAACGACAAACATACTAAGTATATAAATTTTTTACTCTCCAATTATCTCATAATGAACTTGGCGTCCAACATTTTCGGGGACTACACTACAATTCTATGTTAAATATTAGAACCTATTTTTAGAACTTTTATGATGCCGTTTTATATGATTATTATTACCCAATGACAATATAATGCTATTACTTCTTATTTATAAGTTAGCGTTATCTATTTTATAATAGTATATAATATGTATAGAAAAGGCTACCTACTGCCTACCACTTATTCTCGTATCTACTTATTAGCGTATTTCTAACTCAATTGAATGAGACAAAATATATAATGGGATGATATAATAGGGAAACTTCCTTCATTAGAAAACAGTTCTTAGTAGTAAAGTGAATTATTTAGATTAGAATGTTGTAGGGATGGGAATTCTAAAGACGAGGGAAAAACAAGAACAAATTATTTTTATCAAATTATAAAAAGCGACTCACCCTGGGAGGCCGGCCTTTGATTTTGCGGCTTCGGCTGGCTGGTGGTGGCCGGCTGGCCGGTGTAGGGGTCCACCTCGCCCTCATCGTATATAAATTTTTTACTCTCCACTCGGTCCACTGACTGGTCCAAAAGTGCTTAAATTGGTTTATTTGAATAAATGGACTACACCTATGTTAAATATTAGAACCTATTTTTAGAACTTTTATGATGCCGTTTTATATGATTATTATTACCCAATGACTGACTTATTAGCGCTCAATTGAATGAGACAAAATATATAATGGGATGATATAATAGGGAAACTTCCTTCATTAGAAAACAGTTCTTAGTAGTAAAGTGAATTATTTAGATTAGAATGTTGTAGGGATGGGAATTCTAAAGACGAGGGAAAAACAAGAACGCCTCCACTTGCTGGCTGGTGGTGGCCGGCTGGCCGGTGTAGGGGTCCACCTCGCCCTCATCGCACTCGGACTGCAGGTCCCCCGAGCTGAATCTGCGCAACGCCTCCACTGAGCTACTCGTCGCACGCCGTAGCACAGCCACGCCACACCGGGATACAGGGACACGTACAGGAGGGACGAAACCGACACACACACGATGTAGCCACTCATTTACATCTAATTTCGGTGCTGAGCCAATTATTTTATACTTCTCATACTGGTAACCATAGCTAACGGCCATCAGAATAAAGAACTCTAGCGTATAAACATGAATAATTATAAATAATACCACGAACATCACTGAAACTGCTCATGGCATCTTTCATGTATTGTCACTTCTTTGAACTTAGGTATTACGCACCTTATGTCAGATGTTCAGATAAATATCCAAACTTATATTAAATGTCTTATACCTCTGAAAAGTATTCATCGATAAACAAATAAGATCGATGTAACTGCTCCTCATAAGCGACATTAAATAACGACAACACATTGAAAGGATAAAGCGCCATGCACTGACGATGGATCGTAGTCGAAACCAGCGACAACAAACATTATGACCAGCGCGGCGTGGAGTATAAATAAACATTAGAGCTGATGAGTGGTGCTACACGGTATGTGAATAGGGCGGGCAGCGGGGCAGGCACGGTAACGGACGCTGGGCGGGTCGAGTGCGGACAGGACGTGGAAGCGGTGACGTGAAGCGGCTTTGGCCTTTTTATGGTGTTCTGATTCTTTTTAAACAACTAGTAAAGTATTTTTATAACATACGTAATGTCTGAATGGTTTATAAAAAAATATACCTACTTACAATTACTGATAAACTAAAAATCAAAAGCTAAAATGATATGGAACTAATTTCTTGACAATTATTTATATTTTTGAAATTGCCACAAAATTATTTGTAAATAAGAAGAAAATACATAAGAGATAATATTATTGGTATTAAGAACACATATACATAAGTCGTAATAATAAAAAATAATGTAATGTTCATGAAAAATATTTGGAAATATAAAATAAATATTTGGAAGCTCGTATTAAGCCTGCCATGCTTTTACAACAAACCTAAAAAACATCGACACAGAGACAAGGACATACCTTCGTTTCAGGTAATTGACATTGGTGGTAAATGAATTACGGAAGCTTGAGAAAGACAGGGTTGATGTGGTCGCGGCCTGCGGGCCACAGATTCCTGGACACCCTGACCGCTCTATTTTGATGCCGCCTGTATTAATTTTATTTATGTATTATTGTTTCATATTTCTACAAATAATATATGTTTGTATCTATTCATTATTATTAATGCATAGAGTATTAACTTGCTTTGAATAAAACGTATTTTGCGTCTCCACAATATATAATAATTATTATGGAATCGCATAACATTAAAAAATAACTCGTACTTTTTACAGTGGGTTGAAGTATCGTATTATAGACTCACCTCTGGAAAATTACTCGCAAGTGTTGTAGAAGTCAATAACCGGAGTGGATTAAGCAGTGATGTTATAACAATCTAAATGGGTGGAGAACCGAAGTTACCTGTTGAATGAAATACTGAATTAATGAATAATAAATAATACTGGTCAACTGACACAACCCCATTTAGTCCCAATCAAACATAGTTCGTATTACAGGTAGACATAAGAAAATTAACTGGCATATTATATTTTCAACTTTTAACCGTTATTTTTAAACATTAGAGTTTAATGTTAAAACGAGGTACTCGTAAATACCATACTATTTGCCATAAATTTTGTTAAGACCCGGTTAATAATATAAATTATATAACCGATATATTTACCATGAATGCGAACACTGAATAAACTGGCTAGATGTAATTTCATAAGATAAAAATATTATATATGGGAACGCTATAGAAATTTACAAATATCCAAACTTTCAATATGGAAGACGGTTTCAAATTGTCCAACGTATAGAATCCAGTATTAGGTATAGTTAAAAAAGTATTCAGCTAACTGTGTTCAACTGTGGAGATTATACAATGTGTATGTTTTGTCGCGGTTAGTTCGTTTGCGATCATTATAACAACAGAAAACGAGTCCAACCACCAACAAACATAACAGTTAGTCCGCAGGTCTAATGTAATTAGAATTTTTTATTTTCGTAAAACTAAGAGGATAAAACTAGCTTCATTTATTTTTTTTCTGACAAAATTAAACAAGTGAAATTATATTTGGAAAAAAAAATATTTTAACAATAGTTTAATCCATTATTCCATCAACATTTAAGATCAAAATAGTTTTCTTTACCATTCTCTAATAATTTATTTATTTATATTCTGTAGAAATAAAAAATGAAATACCTTCTCTTAGACCCAAGAGCAACGTGACAGTTTTAGCAATGAATTTTTGAGATATATTACTGTAGTCCACGTAATATGAAATCAAGTTATATATAGTTCATCCAAATAAAACTTGGGGACCTCTTCGCAATATTAAGAAGTTGATACTTTTTATTACTTTACAAGCTATAAGTTTTTATACTTCTTTAGCATACAGAAATATATATATATAGTACTCATATTTCGTATTAATGAAGAAGTATTCGCTTGTATTATTAAATAATGTTATCAAAATATATTATATTGTGTAAGCATTCTCGGAGACGATCGACTCCATGAAGAGTCCGAGGAAATTAATTTAAAGAGGATTTAGATTTACGGTACGAAAAATTATTGCACTGAAAAGCCTCTTATCTCCGATAAAAAAACGTTAAGAAATACAGTAACATTTAATAGTAAACAGTAAATATTTATTAGTAGGTAATATTGAATACTGTTATATTTAAAACGAATTGATGATGAATGAACACTATTACTAACCAAAGCACGACGGTTAACTTTAAAAAGTCACATAAGATTGTGTTACGTTTTTGTTTCCCGAAAAAGGTAAAAGAATTCTTACCTGGTTATTTCTTGTTTCTTTACATATTACATATATGTGACTTACGTGCGTTTAAAGATTAAATCTCTTAATATAGAAACATAAATATCTAAGTGTGAGTTATAATCTCGGGTGGTAGCTTCGAGCCACGTATCCCATTTAGACTCTACCACGGTTCACCGCCATAGACATTCATTTTCGCGTTTTGCTGCCTTCCTATATTTTAAATCACACCTTTAAACGTACATATAACGAAAACACGTCTATAAGACGTGTATATACGAGTCTACTTATTTTTACCAATATTTATATATGGTATACTCGTGTATGTATGTTTATATATATATATATATATACGTGTTTTCATAGACGTATGTATATGTTATTAGCTTATTGTTGTGTTATTTGCAAAAAAAAGTGTTAAATACAGTATTGTAACTAGTAATTCATTAATGTACAATTAATAAAAGAAATTACGTAAACAGTTGCTTTTCCTCCTCCCTATCAATCAATCATAAATAAGAAACAACTGTCAAATCAATTACCAACTTACCCAACGATCGATCTAAGTGTTAGTTTGCCTGGGTTTTATTCTAACAGTTACTGATACAGAAATATGCTTAAGATTTAGTTAACGGTTAATACTAATAAACAGTACTCAAGAAAATATATGTTAAAATACTGATATTGACTTTAATTAAATAAAAGTTACATACTAAAACTTTTCTAAAAATTTAATATAACACCAACACCAATGCAACTTCATAAACTTGAATAAAATATACGTGCAATTATTATTAATAAATGTGGATGTTTAATACAAATTCCAAATAATACATTCATAACACGATTAAAAAATAACTATCGTTGTCCTTTATCTTTAATCATATATTCCAGACCAGACAAAAGGCGACTCTAGCTAAATATCCACTGGCACTCAGCCAAACCTTTGTTGTAATTAATTCCCTATGAAAATCGATTTTTAGATTACATCTATAGTAGGTAATGTTATTACAAAAAATATTACAATAAATAATTAAACAGATACTAGTTGTCTCTGAAACAAGTAATAAACAGCTTAAATATGTGTGTCGTATCAGTCATTATTTTAGAGATAATTATGTGAATTTTTTTATTTGGATACTCTTCCTCCTCTTGAGGAATTCACAGAATTTTTACAAAAATAGGATATATAATAAATGTAAAAATATCCTTAGAAAGCTTGTTTTTCTATAAGGAATCGGTTATTTTTTAATTTATCAATATAAGAGACATTGTAAGCGACTTATATCTGTCACGATATAATTATTTATTTATTTATTTAATTTTAATTCGGATTACATCCATATTGTGTTAGTAAAAACTTATAAAACTATGTTAGTAACTTATAATATAAATATACGTAGATATATTTAATTCATATATCTGTGTCCACGTCCAGAAGCACTGGGTCCACAATGCAACGTTATCCAGTGCCTCTGGAGCGGACAATCAGGTATATTAGCAACAGTTTTTAGGATGCTGTTTGAGTTCCCCCGAATTCTAGACATCAGTGATGCAGCTCTTTTACGCATTATGGCTTCAAATCCATCTACCCGCGTTGCTGCAAACATCTCTGATGCGCTACAGAACCGAGGGAGCCCCAACAACATCCTAAACCCATTATTATACTGTATACGAAGAGCGTTGTATGCCCTCTGCGTATACCCAAACCATAGGCCGCACGTGTAAAACGACTGACAATACGCTTTAAATATTAAAATTAAAATTATCAGTTATTAAGAATTTTTATTATAATCATAAATGAATATTTTATTCACCTAATTCCCTTTGAAAAACCGTTTCGGAATTGATCGAAAGGAATGGAAGGACAAGGAAGAAAAAAATTGAAAAACGTGACATTATCTTCTGATGTTGCATTTTATTGTAACTTTTTAATTTATTTATATTTCGTATTGCCTGATATATACTGCGATATATATAAAAGGGTTTAATCTAATGTCTGCGAAATACTACGATATACTTCACCATATCTACAATAGTCATATACCTATGTAGGTAAGTAACAACTTGGTGAATAGTATTAGATATTAATCACACGACGGTCGTGATGTGATTCATTGTATGTGGTCATGCGGATGGTCTCAAGAGACTACCGCTTTCTATGAACAGAAGAGATTACGAAGGTTTCTACTGTATTTATATAGTACTATTAAAAGGTGACTATTTATTTGTACTTATTCACTATCAATTTCAGTGATATTTATAATCTTGATATAAAAATGAGAATTTGGTATATATTTTATATTTTCTGTATATCTGTATTTTAGCATCATTAGTCTACTGCAGTCGATAATTAACAATGTAACATTATTATTTAATTAATAGTAATAAAAAATACTAGTGTATTATGTTATGCATCTTTAACTAATAGATGATTTTAATTTGTATGAAAATTTAAGTAGAGTTTGTTCTTAATTTGGTATTGCATTGTCCTGCACTAAACTAATAACACTGACATAGTAGTTTGTATAAGTTAGCAGTGATATAAGTTTTAAACTATATGAGTAGAAAAATAAATATATATGAATTAATAATTCACTCGCGCATGTTTTTTTTTACCAATGATTTACATCAGCTGTCACACCAAAGTTCACGAACATAAAATTATAAGATTTAATCTTAATCTCAACAAAGATGTATTCATATAAGATCGTTACATAATACTTATAATGAGTTCATATCTAAGTATTTATGCAAAACGGCACCACTCTAACTGCACTGGGTGATGCTTACGAGATAAACAACAAAGTAATTAACATTTAAAAAAATAGATGAAACTTAAATAAGATTTATAAGTTAATTAATTACATGAGCTAATTTTTAATCCAGGTTATTCGTAAACAGAAAGTACAATATCCAGACACAATTTCATAAATGAAAATAACATCGAACATCACAACAATAAATGTTATGAATACATTATATTCTTTACACTTATCAATGATGTTATTTACAATTCTCAAACATGATTGTGCGTACTCACTCAATTAAAAAAAAATTAAGTGATTCAACTTTTAGGTCAGTAGTAAATACCAACTGCTTCGGCGCCATGTTATAGATTTTCGCAAATAGATTATTTTATTTATTTGTAACACAAATAAATTTCTTTACAACCGGTAGATATTTAAATAAACTGAAATCTATTTTTTCGTATATCCACGGGTTACATAAAATATCAATTTACTTTTCCCATTACACAATCAATTCTCCTGAGATGTTGTTCAAGTTTTCTTACAGAATAAAGTAAAATACTTACAATGGTTACATCTACATACATTTTTAAACTTTTAATACACTCTTTTTGTTGCTGGGATGGGAAATGTTGTTATAAAATGTGTATTGCCAGTGAAACTACAGAAATATAAGTCGTAGTGATGTAGTTTACTTATTTTCAAAGATCTGGAACGATTATACCATTTTGGTAATATAGATCTTTTTATATTTCATTCTGTCTCTACAATTTTTTTACAAATTTTAGTTAGAGAGAACGAATAATATTCAATATTGCTTTTTAAAATTTTTATATTTGTAAAATATTAACACATAGCATTTATACACAACTACAGTTAGGTACACTTAAGAATAAGTTTATTACATGTAAAATAAGAGTAATCAAATGAAAAGGCTAGTCTTTCTATTTATGTATAGTAAATCAAGGTAAAATATAAAAGTTTTCTATAAATTCAATCAACAATTTGGAATAACTTACCTAATGAGTAAATTTCGAGATTGCACTTTTTTAGTACTTAGATAAATGAAAATAAGCAAATGAGTTTGTCTCTCTATTTATATATAATAAATCAAGATAAAATATAAAATTGTACTAATATTTTAAATTAACTCTGAAATAACCTACCTAACATTATATAATTTAATTCAAAATGAAGAAATCTGCTTAGCTTCCATTATGAGGTCAATCTCCGCCCTATATACCTACCTACTGCAACAAAATCCATTTCGTAATACTATAATTCTAGCCATTTTGAGGTTCACGCGGTTTGTGTAAAGCTTTATGAATGAAATTAATCTCATAAATGATTCGTGATATCAGAAAAGATTGAAAATTAAAAGAGTGACTAAGTTATTTGAATTATACTTACGAATTATGAAGATATTTCCGAAAATGGTACAATTCAAGTACCGAGCACTGGTTGCGCGAAACCGAATGTGGAAATGGCGTTAGTAGGGAGTACCGTTTGTAAGACTGATGAAAATCGGCGGGACGGCGCACGTCAGCTGGATATTGATTTTGGGCGGCAACGTGCCATGCGTTGCCAGCGCCACCTTTGCACCTAATTGTAAGTAGTTGTGATTATACTCAGTGTGTATAGTCTTTCTCCATTCTACGACAGATGACGTATAAAAATATACTATATTTTTAAATAACATATAATCTGGGTGGACTGTAAGAAATCCTTTTAGATATTTTATCGATTCTTATACACACGTATATTCTAGTTTGAAATTGCGAGAAATAGGTTTTTTCTTACACTTTTTGTTTCATTACATAGATATTATATATACTATATATTTTAATATTTTATATATATAAATATATATTAATATTCATTGGCATTGGTGGGATCAGGCTCAACCTGATAATAAACATCTGTCGTTAATATACATGAAATGTACCGGGAACATCACGTCAACGCTTGTGTTACAATTTATCTGTCTGAGATATTATGCCTCGGCATCCTATAAATGCACTGACTTATGTCAACCTTAATTCAAACTTTCCTCAACCCGAAAGACAGCTTACAAAGAAAACTTCATGCATATAGGAGGATTTGAATGTGGAAACATCTTAGTCATCGCAACACACGGGAGGGACTACAATAGGCGTTACAATGTATTTTGTAATATTCAGGTATCCAATTGATGTCTATAAGTCACCATTTCCCATAGGGTATGTAATCAGCATCGCTTATTTATTGTCAAATTACTAACTTTAGAGCTTCTGCACAACTATATGTTATGCATACAAATTTCATATATATCTTGGAGATATATATGAAATTTGTTTTATATATATCTCCAAGACATTTGTATATGATGTGATTAAGATTAGGAGTATCAGTTTAAACTTAATAGCCCTATAAAACAAGTTACTTTTAAAAGAATTTTGTGTTTTTACTGTATGTTTAGTAGCTTTTGATATTTAGGAGACGAAGAAAATATATTTTTTTAATTTCATTTTCCGTAACAAGTATAAAGGTAAACTAAACACAATCAAATCTAAAATACAAAAACAATTTAGAACTTACCTATCTATATTTAGAAATTAAGTGAACGCCATGTTACAAAGACAGCCTCAATATTAAAAAAATATTAAGATACATATAACAATATTTAACATTATATCACCATTATACCCTGAGTTTATACTATTACTTGGGATCAACATAGCACGGTGTTCTTCTACTGAGGCATTACTGAGTTTATTCTTTCTTTATACAAATCATCTTTAAAATAGTCCATTAATGTTTTTTCGGTCAATCTTCCTTTTAAAGCATCCGCTTAATTTGATATATCTTCTTTGATTCCTTTTAGAAATTCATTTACCTACGTTCATATTAAATGGCTTCTTTGATTTTTATTTCTTCTAAAACTAAAACCAATTTTTAAATTGATAGTAAAAAGTAGTTTTTAACATACAACTCTGTAACAGACGAAATGATAACAAATGAAAACTATTAAGACTCCAATACCTTTATCTTTTTCGTTCGAAAACCTAAAGTGATAAGAATAAAAAAAAAATGCAAAATTCTATAAATACCTTCTATCAATTTAAAAACATAATTAAAAAACAACGAAGACAAGTTTCATAAATATATTTTATTTATTTCCAGACCATGTTTAATTTTGAAAGGGAATAAAAGTTATCACATATCAGTAATTTCAGTTTCAGGTTCAGAATGTTTCTGAAATATATTACAAATTAACTGCAATTCAAAAATATGGTACTTGAATACTAATTCTTTGCATTGTACATAGTAGGCAAATATATACATAAATATTAAAGACCTTATTTACTTTTTAAAATTCTTTAATAAAAAAAACAATAAAAAAATAATTGCCAAAATCGGTACAGCCGTTCATGCGTGATGCCGCGATGACCGTGACTAAGATAAGTACGTATTTATTTATATGTACATATGTATATCATAGATTATTCAATCACTAAGTAAAATGTAGTCAGTGACAAACAAGCAATTTATAATAATCTATTTATGAGGATATTCATTAATTGCAAAAACAAACGCGATTCTAATAATGTCAGTAATAGGTATATAGTTTTGGTTTGATGATCGATGCTATCTTGAATATGTTATTAGAGCTTTCATAAAATATGAATGCATTTTAATAATTTACATTTAACGTACTATTTATTGACAAGTCAAGGTAGATCTAAAATCAAAAATTTTATTTTAAAAACTGATTTATAACGGTTTACAAGGTTGTAGTTTTGCCCTATAAGCTTCCTTAACTTATTGTGCAATAGAAAAAAATATTAAAAGCTTTTGAACTCTATTTTAAATTATAGTTATTCATTTGACAGGCCCTTAGTAAGCTATTACTCAAATTACCTTATACGCCTCCAAAAAAAATCATTACTAATCAGAGTTCTAAGTATAATATATAGTATATTCAGGTCACGAAGGGTAACTGAACAACAGAATTAAAAACTGATATTATGGTTGTGTTACTAAAATGGTAGAAATATCATTTTAGTAAATCAAGCATATTCTTTATCATGCATATTTGTATTTTTGCATACATGTTTAAATTTAGTTATTCTATGTCATGAATACTTTTTTTCTTTCTTCGATGTTTTTTACGTTTTAATCATGTATTGTTTTGCTAAGGTAAAAAATATCTTTATTTTTAACGTTATTTACTATTAATTATTTAAAAATATTTGTCAGATGCGCGTTGAATTCTTCTACAAATATGTACGCTGTCGTAGCATTTTCTACGCAATTAAGTTTACCATTGTTTATATATAGTCATATAAATTTCGTAACATAGCTGGGTAAGTGATTTGACCTTTATAAAGGTAGACATTGCACAGAGCTTTTATATATTCGAACTGTAGCGGCGTACAATAAAAGTAATAAGGTGTCAGACAGAAGGATTATCGGAAGGATCCAGTGCTTTACCTGGCGTGGTGTGTATGGTTGCGTGTATTATAACAGGTGAAAGACAACTGTGTGCGTATGTTGTAATGCTTGCAGGCCGCCGACGCGACGCGGCGCAGTGTTGCGTAGCGAGCCCTCGTCCACACTGTATTATGTTACTAAAAATATTTTATAAATAAAAATTATGTACACGAATAAATATTGCCATAATAATATTATTACCCTCTCTATTGTCTGTTTTTTGACGAGATACTATAGAACACGTAAACATATTGTATAAGATTCGACTTACTCCAAGTATACAATAATAGACTTCAGTTCAAAAAATGTAGATATTTTGTAAAGACTCTACCATAGCGCCATAGAGGTAAAAACAAAGTATAGAGGGGGCGTGGAGTAAAATAATGTACTAAAGTGTTTTTGAAGTGAATTAAAATACTATTGTTAAACACCATGTAGACACAGCCGATCACAGAAAGTAAAGTTTGTTGTTCTCGTAACTTGGTGTGGTGGACGCTTGGTGCGGCAGTGTCGCTGCGTCCCGCGCTCCGACCGGTACGCCATGCTGCGCTGACGCCGCGCCACCCACATCTATTGTAACCAAGTGTCAGAAAATCCGTGACAGCTGTCAAGTGATCCATAATGTGGCTCCTATGGACTTGTCTCTTCGCCAGCTATCTGCTGGCCACCAGCGCGCAGGTAAATTCACTAGTCATAATACAATATTTTTTACCCATAGACTAGTATTCAACAAGTTCCACTTTATTATCTTCTCAGAATTCGTAATGATTACTCAATGACATGCACATATTTAGACTTATTGATCTACCTACAGCATTTACGAAATTACCTTATTCCCTTCCCTATACGTATCAAATAAAAGGTCATTATAATATAGATATGACAGTTATTTCAAGTCTATATATTTTATTGTTTTCAATGTCATTTTATTTGTAAGTACATTTTATATCGGATTGCTACTATGAATTCTGAAGTGCTGAACTAATGTATAACCACGACTCAGCATTATTTTCCACCAGGTGGGTCGCGTACAGTTTTATATAGGTAATGACTACTTAGTCGTTATCTTTGAATACAACGTTACTGATTCAAATTATTTTTATCATCTAATATACCAAAGAAATATTTCTACAATAATAAGGATTAATATTAATATGAAAATATTTTTCTCATTCCCATTATATGTATAAAGTAGTATCTCTAACATTGATATCTACACGAATATGAGAAATCCGGTTTAATTATAACAGGAGACATAATGATTTTAATAATATAAAAACATGGTTCATTACAAGTTCTTATTTATAAAAACTAACCTTCAAATAACCTTACGAAACTATAACATAGGTAATTAGCAATTTTAATGCTTTGTTGATCCGTAGTAATAAGAGTAATAATTTTTCAAAGCCTAAAATATGGACTTGATCCCTGTGTATAAAACTTAAAGAACTTAGGGTAAATCAAATGACAAATGTAAATCTTATATTTTTATTATATACTACATAACTCGTAATTAATGATGTACCTTTAAGAACAAACCCGATCGTGCTACTGGAACAGACGAATACAGGAATGCCCATAATAACAATCAAATATTCATTTCAGAAAAGTATGCTGCTAACTCAGTAATTTTAGCTTGCTAAAGTGAAGTACAGCATCCAACGCAAACAGATTGCTAATAAAAAGAATGATGATACAGAGTTGGGTACTCCGTAAATAAATATTATTATTATTATTTAAAAATAAAACAAATTATATAATTTTAATACGCCTGCTTTGTTACAATTTCTTCGGAAGGTTATTTATTACTTATCTTGTCATAACTAAAACAAACGTTTGCCCTATAGGAATTGCTTAAGCAAAGCCTTAAGTAAGTTAGACGACACAATACGTATATTGTCCATGGTTCATATTTATAGATCGACTACCATTCATATCAACGGTCCGTCAACTTGCTTGCGAATTCCAATGGAATATAAAAAAGTCAATGGTTATTTCTTTTCTTATGTCATTTTATTTATGGTTATAGGCAAAAAAGTAAATCAAATGATCAGTAGACACGTTTAAGCATCGGATAAATGAGACCACGTCTTACTGCTCAATTTTTTAAGACACCTAGTAATCTTCTCAATGACGTCTTCGGACTAGTTCAGAGGTACCTCGTCTGTACATTAAATATTTGTCAATAAAATCTAACGGGGGACGATATTCGATCGGCACATACCACAAAATGATACATTCTGTCTGTCTATCTTTTACGAGCAGTGGTACTTTTTACAAATATAAATAAGTACGCGGTGATTGCTAAGCTAGTTAGCAACAGTTCAGAGTCAGTTATATTATTAGTTATATATAGTTAGATTAGTTATATTAGTATCTAAAAACAAAATTATGAAAATTCGCACGACGTTGCGGGCACTACTAATAAGTAATATGTTGCCACATATAATCTGGTATGCCTATTCTGATTACGCTAGTCGTAATAGATGGTATTCGGTTTACATTCAGCCCAACACATACATACCTAGCCTAATTTTGTACAGATTGAAATAACTACAACACGTTTACATAAAATGGTGTGAATATGATGAACTCAACTGTTTAATCATAGTTCTGAATTTACAAAAGGATGGCGCTCTGTTCAGTAGAGTATACTCATAATTTGAGGCATTGTGTTTGCGGAGTTACAGTGTATTATAGAATTAGATGGTATGGTTATGCACGCTTATGTAAATCAACTCGAATACTTAAAATGATCAGAGCTACAGCTGTATAAATAACATCACAATTTTATACGCCTCTCCACTCCATTGTTTTTTGGCGTGGCTTTCTTGTTAAATATTTACATGGCTTCTCTAAACAATACATAAATAGAAATTAGAAATAATTCGAGTAAGTACTCACATAAAAATTGTAATAAACAGAAAAATATAACTCACGAAATTAAATGGATAGACTTTGATTAAATGGATTAAGAACTACTTCTGAATAATAAAACTTGAAATAATTCCTACACACAATTATTTTTTCTTTTTCAAATATGTATCAACTTTATTTATCATAATCATTCTCCACTCTTGAATTAAATCTAATATACAGGAAGGACAAAATGTGTAAAGATTAAGTAGGCACATCCTTAGCAATATACATATATTGCTAAGTATGTAGTAACATATATGTACTCATAATAATGAACTTCCATAAAATATACCCAATCAGTTTTGTTCAATATATTTGCTTGGACGTTAAATTATAGAAACTTAAACATTTAACATTAGACGCAAAATTATAGGATTATAATAATTATATTTTATTCAGGACACGAGCCATTTCAAACACGTAATATTTATAGAGTTGTCATGCAACCAATGCCAGTCGTCGTCAATGGCAGTATGTCAGGATTGCAAGGCTACTCCGCGCCTACACATCCCACGCGTGCACCAACATTCTATTTAATAATTGGTTACTGACAAACAGATATATATACATATTAGTACGTAATGAATAAAAAATACTAATTTGCAAAGAGGGTTTTACTTATATATCAGGTATCGTTATTACATGCACTTAATAAATCTACTATAGAACTTGGTATAATACATTTATAGACGCAAACATGTACGAGTATTACAAACAAAAGCTTTAATTATTATTACTATATAAATTTTGTAAATGTACTTAAAGATATCTTTAAGCTATAATGAAATGCATCATTATAATCAATTACGATATATAACACGTATAATAAAACGGACTTTATTTATTATTTACAGCCTATACAAAAACGATATTTAAATACAAATGTTATATTAAAAATGTCTGATATTTGTTCCGAGCAGCACGACATGTCTTTATTTTAAGAACTAATTTGAAATAATCAAATTATCTATCATTACCCTATAAATTAAGTAGTCGTATTATCTGTTTTCCCAATAACTTAAAATTGCGTTCTTATTTCAACTGTTTGTAGACAATCGTAGTTAAGTCCATACTTACACTAAACTTTACTACTAAACCATATCTAATATTTCCTGTAATATGATAATAAATAAACGAAACTTGTACTTCTAACAAAGAGTACCGAGCCTCATAATGTGACAAGTGCTAGCAATATATTCATTATGACATACACTGAATAAGATTGAGAATCATTTAAACAGGTTTTATTTCCGTCGTTTTGATAGATGACGATAAAAATACCTCATGATACGTACAAATATTTTAGTTTTCCTATGTAATTCCGTGGGTTTTTATCACGTTTTATATAAAACCACTTTTTCTAACAACTGGACCGTATTCTTGTCCATATCACATCATGCCTGCATACCACAGCTTATGTGTATTTATATAGTTCAACACTGATAGCCTTTAAGTACCTATGATTTCATCATGTGTTTTCTCTTAATGTGGCATTTCTCTATCATCTTCTCAGTCATCTCTGCGGTAATAATAATAATAATAATGTAATTCTGTATTGTACACACTAAAAATAAGTTCAATAAGAGCACTGCATAAATGTACTAAACCATTTAAAATCTCATACAAATAACCTGGATTTTTCATTCTACAAAAAACTGTTTTGTTATTGCATAGTAAAACGTAATATACTTCGAAAACAAAATATGTTGTAAAAATTACAGATCTATATACGAATATTAGGTACTAAATAAAATTGCGTATACCAAAAGAGAAGATCTAGATACACATACCTTTACCTACATGTACTCACCACACTACTTCAAAGTATACAAACCGACTAAACATACCTTGCACATTCTTGCATACTACATGCATAGTCTTGTATGTACTTTCAATAAATACAAATACAATAATATATACCTTATTCTTGTATCCATTCATAGAATTGTACAGTGACTCAACATCAATTGAGTCAATCTATAAGAATATTGACTCACGTTTATATATACATTTGTCCCATTAATGAATCAGATGAATATAAATAACGAAACATACTTTTATTTGGGTATCTTATAATCTTGAAAAAAAATATTTATTTGAAAGTACGAAAGTTCATATATAATATTATATAACTATTAGACGTTTATTTATAAAACATTACTTTTTGTTACCACATTTCGGTGTTGGAACAAAAAGTTAAATTACTCAATTTGTAATCGGCTTCAATATCATGTATGCTCTATTTAATGATAAAATCTGATCGACAAAAAAACGCCGGTAAAGTGTGTATTCATGGCCCGTAAACTAATCACAGATTATTAACTAAGACTGATGTTCTGCAACAAAAACTTGACAGCTTTGAAATATTATTAAATTGGTTTATTAAGAATAGACTGTTTGATTAGACCTGATTGATATTTGTAACATAATAATACAGTACAATCTAAATAATTAATCGACCACTTTCATAAAAAAAAGATTTGTTATAAATCTGTCCCCAAGGAATTAGAATATTATAAAGCGCCGCCATTTATAAACGTATGTCCAAAATTATAAAATAATCTTTGGTATGTATCTACATAAAAATACATCACTCAAAAACAATCGGTACATGAAACATACCGTTGTAGTGAGTGATACTCCCGCACCGTGCATTGCATAAATATGCTTCATTCAAGGCAGTTGCTATATGACATTGAATTACGCATTTTTATATCACTTAGAATATAATTATAATAGGTTTCCTACCTAACACTACT